ATATGTTCTTATGTTCTTATGTCTAGACGTTTTTATTTGGCTAGTTATTTTTACTATAGAATCATAGAATTATAGACCTGGAAGAGACCTCAGGAGGTCAGCAAGTCCAGCCCCCTGCCTAAAGCAGGACCAATCCCAACTAAATCAACACAGCCAGGGCTTGGTCGAGCCAGGACTTGAAAACCTCTAGGGATGGAGAGTCCACCACCTCCCTAGGTGACCCATTCCAGTACTTGACCACCCTCCTAGTGAAATAGTTTTCCCTAATATCTAACCTAGACCTCCCCCACTGTAACACTATTTGTATGTAAGTTAATCACCAATTTTCTCTTCAGACTTAAATCATATAGCTTTCCCCATTATTGAATGTTATATATTATTGGAGCATCAGATATACACTTTACTATATATCTGTTATACCTACAGTTCATCAACACATTTACTGTGCTGCACATCAAACGTGTTGATGAATTGTAGGTAAAACATATAGTACACATATCCATACAGATATTTGCCTCAAAAACTTTAGAAAAAGGCACAAATAGAGAAAAAAACACAGTCGGGCTGCGTCTAGACTGGCAAGTTTTTCCGCAAAAAAACTTGCCAGCTGTCTACACTGGCCGCTTGAATTTGCGCAAGAACACTGACAATCTCATGTAAGATTGTCAGTGTTCTTGCGCAAATACTGTGCTGCTCCCAATTGGGAAAAAGCCCTCTTGCGCAAATGTATTTGCTCAAGAGGCCCAGTGTAGACAGCTAAAAACTGTTTTGCCCAAAAAAGCCCCGATGGCGAAAATGGCGATCGGGGCTTTCTTGCCCAAAACTGCATCTAGATTGGCACGGACGCTTTTCCGCAAAAAGTGCTTTTGCGCCAAAGCGTCCGTGCCAATCTAGACGCTCTTTTCCACAAATGCTTTTAACGGAAAAACTTTTCCGTTAAAAGCATTTGCGGAAAATCATGCCAGTCTAAATGTAGCCTCGTTGTCTTAAGTTTGCAAGCAATACACACAGAACACTTTGGGATTGATTTTGGCAATGCATAGGGGCCGTAGGGACTGTAACCACTTGCAGAAAAATTCCCTGCACGGAAGTCAGTTCAGACCACAATGCAACCCACTGCAACAAATCATAGCACTCAGGAAGAATCCGTGTTAGAGCATGAGACAAGAAGAAGGGTGCTAGGAGTAGAAACCAGAAAGTATCTGCAGCACTAAGTGCTACTGAGGTTCTTGGCAATGGCACAGCTCATAGGTTATCTGACTAAAACTGTCATAAATTAGAGCAGATTCCACCCAATGCAGAATCCAGACAGTGTTAAGGCTGCACCTTCTGTGCCTTGGTACAAAATTGTCCCATTGATCTGAATCACTAAGGCTATGTCTAGACTGCAGGCTTCTTTCGAAAGAGGCTCTTTCGAAAGATGCTTTCGAAAGAGCCTCTTTCGAAAGAAGCCTGCAGTCTAGACATAGCCTTAGTGCTACTGAGGTTCTTGGCAATGGCACAGCTCATAAATTAGAGCAGATTCCACCCAACGCAGAATCCAGACAGTGCTAAGGCTGCACCTTCTGTGCCTTGGTACAAAATTGTCCCATTGATCTGAATGTGACTTCTGCATACAGGTCAGATTCAGATAAAAATACGTGCATTTATAACACACAGCTTGAAAGTCCAGTTTCTTTGAGGTCTGCATTTGTTTTCTTCATCTGTTTCTTGTGGATTGCCATTAAAATGTTCCATGGAAAATACAACAAGGTTATCATACACATATAAGCACCTATGTAGTTGACAATTGTGGGGAAAATATTTCTTTCATTTAATTTTCTAGTGTAGGTTAGATATAGGCTTTCTACATTGTGTACAATATAGTGTAACATTAATCAATGGTGAAAATTACCTGTCATGTTTCTCTAAAATGTACTCATGGGTTATTCATACCCACTCAAGGAAACTGTGTTCATCCAATCTTCAACTACATTGAATGCTCACTAATTAAGAGGCCTCCCTAATTTGTAACTGAAAAATAAAACAAAGATCAGACAAAAAGTCGCTGGTGGTAAATTATTAGCAGCAATGGATATTCTACATTCAACTAAATGTGGGTGTGTATATTTGCATAACAGATGGGGGTCATTGTCAGTCTTTAAAAGTTTTGCTATATCATTTTACTTCTCTAGGAGGAATCCTTGGCTGATGTAAAGCGCATAGGCTGCATCTAGACTGGCAAGATTTTGCGCAAAAGCAGCTGCTTTTGTGCAAAAACTTGCCAGCTGTCTACACTGGCCGCTTGAATTTGTGCAAGACTGATGATCTAAATGTATGATTGTCAGTGTTCTTGCGCAAATACACTGATGCTCCCGCTGGGGAAAAAGCCCTCTTGTGCAAATGCTTTAGCGCAAGAGGGCCAGTGTAGACAGGTAAAAACTGTTTTGCACAAAAAAGCCCAGATAGCAAAAATGACCACTGGAGCTTTCTTGCGCAAAACCGCGTCTAGATTGGCATGGATGCTTTTGTGCAAAAGCACTTTTCCGTTAAAAGCATTTGCGGAAAATCATGCCAGTCTAGACGCAGCCATATTGTTTTATTTTACCCCAAAACTGAGTGCATGGAAATCAGGAGAGCTCACTTAAGTGAAAGAATCTAGCCCAAATATGTGCAAACAAGATTGAAGTCTAGTTCATTAAAAATAAAATGAATATTTTAAAAAAATCAGCCTAGATTTATTCTAAACGTTAGTGCCTGATTCTTCATTGTATTACTGATGCTTTTGCTACTGTAATTTAACTGAAATCAGTGTCATCTAGTACTGTACTAAAACTGGAGTAATGCCAGCTGCGAATTAGGCACACATGGTCTGATTCTTATTTACACTAAGGGCTCTTCTACCCAAGGAAATTGACTGGAATAGCTACCGTAGAATGACTGTACTGCCGTAACTTTGTATAACTCCACATTTTCAGAGCTAGCACTAGGCATAAGCATACTAAGAAATTGCTTAGGGCCCCAAATGGCTCCAGTAGCCCCCTATTAATTATTATGATTTGTTGTGGGAAGGGGGAAATATTCTTGCTTAGGGAATCCAACAGGCTAACACTAGCATTTCTATTTGATAATTTATTCTTGTATAATTGTATAACGTTATTTTCGACTCTACTATCTTTACTCATAGGCTACGTCTACCCTGTGCATTCTTGCGCAAGAAGATATGCAAATGAGACGCAGCAATAAATATCGCCACGCCTCATTTGCATACCCAATGAGCCGCCATTGTGAGCAAGGGGCTTTTGCACAAGAAGGAGCCATGTAGTGCAAAACCCCTTTCTTGCACAAGAGGGGAAAATAAGCAGTAGAAAGGCTCTTGTGCAAGGGGGGGAGAGTTGCACAAGAAGGTGCAGTATAGACGTCTCCTTGTGCAAAAGCTCCTTGCACAAAAATGGTGGCTCATTAAATATGCAAAAGTATGCGATATTCATTGCCGTACCTCATTTGCATATGTTCACCAGAATTAACAATCCACTTCAGGGTTACATTCAAGGGCTATGTCTATACTACAAGATTTTTGTGCAAAAACCGGCGGAGCATCCCCACCTCAAGCGCGCTTTTGCACAAGAAAATTGACAGAACAGAGGACTTTTGCTGGTAGAGTTATTCCTCTCCCCACAAGGAATAACTCCTTTTTTGCACGACAGCTCTTGCACAAAAGGCAGGTGTAAATGCTCTGCAGGGGTTTTTGCACAAGAAACCCCTATCAGAAAAAGCACAGGTTCTCTGATGCCCATTTTGTAAATGACAATCAGAGCTTTCTTATGCAAAAGTATCCATGCAGTGTGGACACTCCCTTGTGCAAAAGCACATTGCATTTGCAATGCACTTTGAAGTCTGGATGCACTTTTGCACAAGAAGTCTTTGCACGAGAACTCTTCCACAAAAGGCTTCTTCTGCAAAAACCCTGCAGTGTAGACTAATCCAAGGGGATTGAGCTGTCATTGATTGCCACTCTTGGATTAAACCGAAGGGGAATGAACTATCTCTCTCACCCACACAAACACAGAGGCTGTGTCTAGACTGGCAAGTTTTTCCGGAAAATCATCTGCTTTTCCGGAAAAGCTTGCCAGCTGTCTACACTGGCCGTTTGAATTTCCGGAAAAGCACTGACGATCTCATGTAAAATCTTCAGTGCTTTTCCGAAAAAACTATGCTGCTCCCGTTCGGGCAAAAGTCTTTTTCCGAAAGACTTTTGCGCAAAAGGGCCAGTGTAAACAGCATAGGACTGTTTTCCACAAAAAAGCCCCGATCGTGAAAATGGCGATCGGGGCTTTTTTGCGGAAAACCGCGTCTAGATTGGCCACGGACGCTTTTCCACAAAAAGTGCTTTTGCGGAAAAGCATCCTGCCAATCTAGACGTGCTTTTCCGAAAATGCTTTTAACCGAAAACTTTTCCGTTAAAAGCATTTTCGGAAATTCATGCCAGTGTAGACGTAGCCAGACTGCGATGGGACTGGACTTATGGACATGAATATACATAACTCAAAGGTGGTTTGAGCAAATTATTTCATGTAACCCATCCATCTTCATGTCATGATCCACTGGTTCTGTTTATCTTACGCTGTAGTATGTATCATTTGAATGTGTAAAATTAGACAGGTGGAGTGGGGAATGCTTTGTGAGTTTCAAATGTGTGAATGGGAGACATGGAGGGTGTTACCTGAAACTTCCTGATGAGACACCTAAAACAATCTTTTGTCCTTAAGGCTGAGCAGTGGTTGGAAGGGAGCAGCCTCAACTCCTTAACAAAAAGAGTAGGAAAGCAAAGGGTCTTTTGGCTGGGCTGTACCTGAAGGAAGAAGCCAGGCTCCATAGAGTGGAAGAGAGCCCTGGTTTAGAGTGGGAGCTGGAAAAGAGGTTTTAGGGTGAGTTCGTGCTGAGGTGTCAGTGTAGAAACAGCCAAGCATTTTTGTCTCTTTTGATTTGTAACTTACTTTGCTCTGCCCTTTGTAACTTACTTTGCTCACTTATTACTACTTTCATCCGACTGCTTCCACTTAATACAATACTTTTTGTTTTCTATCAAACCCAGTGTGAGCAATTGTTACCTGGGGGGGACAACCAGTGTGCACATTCCCACCCACATCCCCACCACGAACAGTGCAGCATGTCGGGGAAACTGAGGCAGACACCATCCTCCAGGAAACTATTACAGCAAATTCCCACCCCCACCACGAACAGTGCAGCATGTCGGGGAAACTGAGGCAGACACCATCCTCCAGGAAACTATTACAGCAAATTCCCACCCCCACCACGAACAGTGCAGCATGGTGGGGAAACTGAGGCACACCGTGCCTGGAAACTATCAAGAAAATTCAGGCCCAGAAGCCGCCCCGTGCCCAGGCAGCGCGTGGGGAAGGGCTGGGCCCAGGACTGACCTTGCCAGGCCCCTCTGGGAGACACTGGCAGGTCCTGCACCCTGGGGAGAAAAAGGCTGAGCAGCATCCTCCGTGTGCCCCCAGCCATGCCTGGTCTTCCTCTTGCCGATGGAGTCTATTGCGCCTCCGTCTGGTTTGGCACAAGCCAGGGCCCCGTGTGCAGCAGCAATGGCCCCAGCTGCTGATGCAGAACAGACAACACCCACACCCGGGCCCCTCCTGCCCAGCTGGGTCCTGTTACCAGTGGGGCCAGGACCCCCTGCACTTCCCTTCCCAAACTGCTGTGCCGTGAGTCCAGGAGGTGGCTGCTGCGCTGCACCCCAGCTACAGCTGCATTTGGCACCAGCCCAGGGGGTCCCTGCACCAACAGCCCCGTCCCGCCCCAGCGGTGGCTGCATCTCTGTCCCAGGTGAGCGACGCTAGCTAAAAAGCCCCACACCTGCGCCCATGGGATGGCTGCCTCTCAGTGCTGGGCGAGGGGCCCCTGTACCAACAGCCCCACCTCTTCCCCAGAGGTGGCTGCATCTCCGTGTGCTGGTTGTGGGGAGCAGCTGGCAGCCGATGGAGGCCTGGGTCACAGAGGGCTCTGGGGCGGGCAGCTGTCCAGAGGGGTCGGGGCAGGAATAGGAGGGGAGTGAGAGGGCAGGTGCAGTGAGGATCTTTGGCCACCAGGTGGCGGCAGGACCCTGCGGGGGGGTCAGGCTGGAGTTCGGGGCTTGTGACTGATTTTGCTGCCTGCTTGGAGACCCCCACACCCCCAGCTGGCTGGGCACAGGGAGGGGGCACAGTTAGGCTAAGGGCCTGGCTGTCCTGCCCCCAATGACATGCTCACTGCTGCAATGAGTGCGTCTGTTCAAAGCACCCCGGTGGGTGGGTGGGCGTGGACCAGAGACGGGCGGACGTCCTGCTTCCTGCAGGCAGGGCTCCATGGGAGCGGAACGTGGGCAGTGTGATGAGTACCCCACCCCGTTCTGGGGCTGCAGGGGTTCAACCTGGCTCCCTGAGCGAGGGTCCCCGCCTGAGATCCCTATTGGGCATGCTCCAGCGGAAGGCAGCTATAAAAGCAGGGGGAGGGGGAGCAGCTCAGTGGGGCTGGTGTTGGCTGGACTTTGTGTCCGGGAAGGGCTTTTGGGTGGGAGGACGGGGGGGTCTGCCAGAGAGGTCAGTACCAGAGGCGGCCGCTTGCTTTTCTCTCGCCTCTCTCAAGCTCTTTGGGGGACACAGAATTTGGGGTGCCCCGGGGTTGGTTTCAAGTGTCTGCCCCACTTGTGGGTTCCAAGCACTTGATGGTGGCAGCGGGTCCCCCAAAATGTGGGTATTGGGATTTGGGGAAGTCTGCAGAGCCAAGGGCTGGGGTGCTCTTGCTGGCCCCCAACTTCTGTATTTATTGTGCCAAAGTGGGGCATAGCCCTGACAGGGGCTCCTGGAGGTGGGCCAGGCTGGAGATGCCAGATCTGTTAGCTCCCGGGCTGGGGGTAGCCCCTTGTTGGCCGGTGTCCCCTCCTGTCACTATCTCGTGTCCCGGGATGGGTTTGGAGGTGCTGAAGCTGGAACACTGTGGAGGGCTGGACGTGTTTGCCCAGGGCTGGGGGGTGCGGGTGTCATAGGCTCCTTCCCCACTCTGACATGATAAATGCGGAAGTGGAGACCTGCAAAAACACCCAAAACCTGATCTCTCCGGGCTGTGGTAAAAACGTCCCCCCGACACAGAGTTTGGGGTGCCCCGGGGTTGGTTTCCAGTGTCCGCCCCACTTGTGGGTTCCAAGCACTTGATGGTGGCAGCAGGTCCCCCAAAAACTGGGTATTGGGGATTTGGGGAAGCCTGCAGAGCCAAGGTTTGGGGTGCTCTTGCTGGCCCCCAACTTCTGCATTTATTGTGCCAAAGTGGGGCATAGCCCTGACAGGGGCTCCTGGAGGTGGGGCTAATCTGGGGCTGCCAGATCTGTTAGCTCCCGGGGGAGGGTCACCCCTTGACGGGCGGTGTCCCCTCCTGTCGCTATCTCGTGTCCCGGGATGGGGTTGGAGGTGCTGAAGCTGGAGCACTGTGGAGGGCTGGACGTGCTTGCCCAGGGCTGGGGGGTGCGGATGTCATAGGCTCCTTCCCCACTCTGGCATGATAAATGCGGAAGTGGGGCCTGCAAAAGTACCCAGAACCTGATCTCTCCAGGCTGTGGTAAAAACTTCCCCTCAAAAACTTAACCTAGATTTGGGGGACAAAATCCGCTGCCACCACCCAAGTGATGAGAAAAAAAACCTGGGGGAGAGCACTTGGGAAATCTCCCCCCTAAGGAAAAAACCAGGACACAACAATTAACCGATGCCAGGTTAATACAAAGAAACGAGAAAGAACGTTTATTATGGTGACGGCGTGTGGGGGTTCCCGATTCTGCCCCCCGTAGCAGTGGGAACAGGCTCCGCCAGCCAGTAGAACAGGGGGGCTTATTGCTTCTCCAGGGTACAGCCCAGCACAGACGTGATGTGGCTACAGGAGTCAGGGCCAGGCAGCCTCAGACCCCTTGGGGTGGGGGGTCAATCGTCCCTGGACCCTCGCCCTCAGCTTCGGTTGTTCCCTTCATGTTTCCAAGCCAGCAACTGCCCCTTCCCCCCAAAACCTCCCTCCTTTGTCCCCTCCCTGCCCTCCACCGGTCGGACAGGTTGGGTCTTGGCCTAGGAAGGTGACCGTAGGCAGCCGTCCTGCTGGGCCGTGCTACCGACACCGGCCAGTAGGGGTCACCCCCAGCCCACACCGCCACCAGTGGATGTCCCAAGGGTACGGCTGCCCAGTGCACCACAGTCATCACCACAAGACTCCTGTTGCAAGCAGAGCGACCAGCTAGAAAAGTCCCACAGTGATGTCCCCATGGAGGGACCCGCCCCGGGCCAGGGCTGGGTTACAAAGGCGAGCGCGGAGCTTTGGCGCTGAGCAGGCTGGAGCGAGGGGAGAGTCCAGAGCCCGGCAGGAGATTCAGTCGGGACCCTCCGCGGCTGCAGGGCCCACGGCTCCGTCAGACATTAGGAACTGGGCAGGGAGAGGCAGGGTAAGGCGGGCAGGGCCGGTCACACTGTACGGCTCACGGGTGCTCAGGGGAGGGGGGGCTCTGACCGGGGCCCACGTGGAGGGGAACGGACCCCGCAAGCCGGTCACCCACCACCGCGCTGTAGCCACCCTGCTCCCGGTGCCGGCGCCATCTCCCGTCCAAGCCAGACACGCCCCCTCCACCACCCCATAGCCTCTCCTGCCTGGGACCCGCCAGTCTCTGGCCCTGACCCCCCCCGGTCCCTCGTGCCAGCATCCCTCTGCCCCAGGGTGGGTGTGAGGCTGCCCCAGGTGAGAGGCTGCACTGAGCCCTGAGGTGTGGGGCGACGCAGGGAGGTGGCGGAAGTCGGGGGAGTTACACATGGGGCTGGTACCTGCTCCCTGGGCTAAGACCCTGCACCACCCCAAGACTGGGCACACGGGGATGGGGCTTTCAGAAGCACCTTGGGGACTCAGGAGCCCAAACCCCAGTAAATCAGTGGGGCTGAGGCTCCTGCCTCCCTCCCCCTCGGTGTAGGACACGTCCCACCAGTCCCCAGCCACAAGGCCAGGAGCCAGGCTAGACACAAGCCAGACACCCCCAGAGCCACAGCTGGCCAGATGCAGCCGACGGGAGGGGCGGGGGGCAGACTGCTGAGCCCCAGAGCGCACAGTGAGCCGCACAGGGATGGGGGAACGACTCAGCACTTACCTGCGGCTTGTCTGCGGCAACCTCTCTACTTCCCTGCGGAGGGAGACAAGGCAGAGCAGTGAGTGCGGGGAGTCTGGGGAGTCCCACCCCGCAGCGTCATCCCCAGGGCGCAGGGAGCCGGGGGCAGGTCCGGGTGCCACGGAACAGACAACAAAGCCTGTCCAGCCATCCTGCTTTGGGGGGTCCTGTCTGTGGGGCTGGGCCCAGCTCCCCGCTCTGAGCCCTGCGACTGGGCACAGCAGGGAGAGGAGAAAGAGCCTGAAGCAGGGGACTGGGGTGAGGCCTGAACCCAAGTGAGCAGGAATTGCGCCAGGAGCAGCGCCCTAGCCCGGCTAAACCGCGCAGACGTGCAATTGCCTCCCGCCAAGAAGGGCCCCATGAGGGAGAGGAAACGCTGCTGGGGTGTCTCCCCTGGGCCTACAGCTTCTCCCCAGGGAGTCCTGGGCCAGTGCTGGGGACGTTGCTGTGGGCTCAGGCCCTGGCCCGACTGCAGAGCTCGGTGGGAAACGCCACGCCAGGGCCCCCTGCCACTCCTGCATCTGCAGCCGCTTTGTTGCGGAAAACGTGGCCCGTGTACACGGGGCCAAAGTTTGGGAAAACTTGCTCTGTTGGAGGAGTGAAACCAGGCACAGCAACTCCCCTTCCCCAGCCCCTCTGAGCCCCCCACATCCCTCCCCATGGGCACCGCACCCTCGGTCCGGTCCAATGTTCATACCACCAAACCCTACCACCCCTTGAGCCCTCTGCTAGCCCTGCACGCAGCCCCCCTGCACAGCCGGTGCCCCACTCAGACCCCCACTAGAAGGCCCCGCTCTGGCTGAGGGGCTTACCCCCGGTCTTTGGGTCACTGTCCACTTTGGGCTTCTGCTGGAAGAGT